AAAGTTAATTTTGTTTTCCTAAGATCTGGTTTTAAAAGCATTTGTGGCAGCTTTCTATTTGCTTTGCCTTGCCTTGCATTTTATTCTTCCCTGTAATTTAATTCATTATTCTCGTTTGGTTGATTTATCAGACAATGGAGGATTCTTTGCCTCTCCCTGTTTTAAGTGTTCTTTTTTTTTTTCTGCTTTAGCATTTACCAGAACAAAGAAAGAAGCCTGAAGCCAAGTCTTAATGCATTTTAAATATTTGTCTTTTTTAGCAAAACAAGGGGCATATATATTGATTTTAAATATCTAGAAGTACTTTAAAAGTTTTATTTAACCAGGGGGACATAAATGCACATAGACTTCATTAAAAGACAAGTGAAGGAACCTAAAGCTTTACTTGAACAAAGACAGTTACCTTATACTCAAATAACAAGCACTGAGAAAATGGTAGGAAAGACAGTGTGCTGGGTTAGAAAATATTATTGTAATATGCTGAAAAGAATCATACTAAATTACATTCTAATATTTTCATGTATGGGAGTTACTGCAGCAAGTGATGAGAACTGCAGAAGTAACCTCATAAAGAATAAAGTGGGTTTTTTTTGTTTGTTTGTTTTTTCTCCTCCAGTTTATAAGATATATCTTATTTTTACATCATAAATATATGCAACTTTGCAACAACTTAAAGACTTCTCAGCTGAGGTCCAAATCCTCAGCTCTCTAAGTTGCCAAACCACTGTGGAACAGAGTAAATATGAAATTATTTTTGCACTTGCAGACTTGATTAATGCAGAAGATACTGAGGATCTTAATAATTAAGTAGCTAATTCTTTTAAGTAGGTGTTTCAGAGTGCATCGATTCTTGGTAACAGATGGTACTTTGTGAATCCAGCACCAAGGAGTTAAACATGAGCTGTTTAAGTTGGTTCCACTACTTGACATAAATAGCACATAATTTCTAATTTCACACAGTCAAGATGGCCAAAAAATCTGGCCACAAGCAAGTTCCTCTTTTCATTTACAAAAGCAGAATTCATGCTGCTTAAGGAATGTACCATGTTTCTCTAATCCCAGGCCTAAATCAGAGGCAACAAGTGAAAGACACTTTCTTCTTTCAGAAAGAAGCCATTGTATTCATATAATTACAATACACTTTTGTGATGACTGTCTGGCAAAATTATGTGCATTTGCTAAGCACCTTGTACTGCTTGAAGTGTGCAGTTACTCTTACTAGCATACCTCCTGATGAAAAGATATTATTGCTATCATACTGAAGCATTCAAGCTGATTATTTCCAAGTTGTGTTTTTTGTTTGTTTGTTTGCTTGCTTACTTGTTTTTAATGTAAAGTATAGAACCTACATTCCATTCATGCCTCATGCTTACTGAAGCTAATGGGACTTAAGAAATGACACTTGAAGAACTGGCCTACATAGGTCTTTCCAGCTAACAAACTGTGGCACATTATGATATATAAATATGGAAATAGGATCTTCCACTTAGACTTTAACTCAACCACTGTATTCAGTTCTGAGTACTGATAAGCAATTATTTTACTGCATAATAAAGCTACTTTGGTAATAGTTTGCAACATCCCCTCTATTTCATGATATCAGTCAGATTAATTCTATTCAGAGGGACATAAAAACAAGAGTTTCAGCCTTGATGTCATCATTGTGTTCTCTCACTGGCTTACTAGAGGCACATCTGCAAATGACACCGAGGAATACAACTTCTTTGTAGTAATGGCAGAACTACCTTTGAATGTCAAGAGACACGACCATGCCTTCTGGAGATCTGAAGGAGCACTGCAATAAACTGTTAGGTGGCTTCTGCAGCCTGGTATTCATAAAGGACAAATTCCCTGTCATTCAGAAAACCATAACAACATCTGTTATAGGGCCTCACAAATAGGGCTGAACAACTTGATTTAACTTCAAAGTTAGTTCTACTTTGAGCAGATGGTTGGACCAGATGACCTCCAGAGGTCCCTTCCAACCCAAATTATTCCATGATTATATTCTGTCCTTTTTTAGACAGAGCAAAATGCTTTAAATTCAAAACAATTTCGAAGCTAGCAAATGGAACAATGAAAATAAAGAAATAATACAAAACAACCTTAGTATTGTATTTTCTAAGTGGTATGAGACAGCAGTGTACCCACATAGGTCTTTCCTTCTGATTTTTTTCTGTAATTTGTGATGCACTCTGATGTTAACAAGCAGTACAAAACTCTTCTGTAGAGCCATCTTGATTTTGGACAGAATTTCATAAAAATACATATTCTTAAGTCTAACAACAATGAGCAGTTATTACTATAGAAAATTAGTTGACATTGCTCTTACAAAGTGAAACCCTTCTGTTTTAGTAATTGTTAAGTTTTTGTTACAGTTAAAAGACACTTTATACCAATCTATCAAACTGGTTTAAATATCTTCATCTTAAAGAACTCCAAAATCTAAACAACATATTTATACCTTCACCACTGCAACCATCTCTGGTTAGTACCACGAAGTCTATTGCATAAAGTACTAAAAACCTTAAAAAACAAATTAGACGAAGCAGATGGCTATGAACAGTTGAAATCTTACTGAACTTACAAATGTCAAAAATATTCAAGCTTCAGTCTTGTATTTCTTGAATTATTTCTTATGTCATGAGAGCTCAACATTATCAATCTACATATTTCACATAGTTTCATGATATTTTATTAATTGCTGTTTATTTAAGTCATACATCCTAATTTAGGACTACACAATGGCTGCATTTTTGGAAGAAAAAAAAAAAAGGGACACAAAACGATCATCAAGTCCAACTCCTCGCTCCACACAGGAGCACCTAAAAATTAAAGCGTGTTTCTAAGAGCATTGTCCAAATGCTTCTTGAACTCTGTCAGGCTTTGTGCCATGGCCACTATCCTGGGGATCCTGTTCTAGTGCCCAATCTCTTTTGTAGCAAACTACAAAATAATGAGAACAGTAAAGCAATCAGTAGGGACTCCTGCTTTCATCAGTCATGTAGAAGACAGAGGTCAGTTTCTTGTCAGGAAGGATTTGAACTTTTATTGTCTATCTGCAATGAAAATAACCTAGACATGAGGCTGTAGAGTAGGCTGAGGTAAATTATCTGTATTCCCTATTATAGTTGCTGCATTCTTATACCTCCTACAAATCCTTAAAGACGACTTGAAACAGTACGGTTCATAAAAGAGAAAAAAATGTGGTACAGTTCCAAACTCAGTTGGCTCCAGTAACTGCTGTCTTTCATAATGACAAGACACAGCTAATATGTTCCTCCTGCTGTGTTCACAAGCACAATGAAAAAAATCTTGCTCCTGCAGTACATTGTCATTAGTAAATTTGCAATAGGTACCTCATCCATGCACTACCTAATCTCCAAACTCCTATAAGAGCTCATAGAAGCTGCTAGCTTCTCAGGAGGAGGTAACTGGCTATATTTCAGTTCCACATGAGACAAAGGCTCCTGATGAGTTACTGCATATGATGTCACTCAGAACAAACATATTTTTGTTAAAAAAAAAAAAAGCAACAAACTTCCATATTCTGTCCCTCTCACATACCTTTGCTATCACAGCTCATTACATAAGAAAAATGAAGATATCTTCTATTGTATGGCTGAGGCATAAACCTAAACACTCAAAAGCACGTGACAGCTTATTTCCACCACATGACAAAAATGGATGTCTCGATGTCCCCCTGATATTATTGAAGGTACACAGATTCATACAAAAATCTACACAGTCAGCAGCTATGACTAGCCCATCTCTTGAATGCAAGTAAAAGTGACAGCAAGCAAATCCATGTCATTTCTAAAAGATGCGGGCTGTATCTGTCTTTGATGATCACCAGTAGTGGAGATTCTGCTGGTTTCAAAACCATTTATTTTAAAACGATAAAATATTTCTTAACTGGTCATGAAAACTACTATACATGTAAGGTGAGTTTTACTAGAGGTGGTGGCACTTTGGTCATATGATGTACCACCTTCCTTCTGGAAACAGGCTAGAGGGAGAAGAGCCACAACTGGATGAGTTACTTCACAAGGATGAATATTTTTCAACTGTGAGTTGACCCTCCCATCTGTGGGACTGTGGGAGACATAATATCCCCATCTTTGAATCTTGTCTTTTTTTTTTTTTTTTTAATTCAAACGGCTCAGAATTGAACCTAAGTTCCCAGAGAGAAGTAGAGAAGTGAGGCATTTCCAGGCCTTCTACAAACAAGTTGTCTGGTCTGAACTGGTCATCTAAGGCACCCTTTGTACTGAGAAAGGAACATAGGCAATTCTAGAGCATGATTTAGCAGTTGTGTGGGATGAGTTACCTCAGAAGTCATGTTTTTCTGACTACAGAAGCAGCTCAACAACTAGTTGACAACTCACTTACAGAAGGTTAAATTTTAAGGTGACCAATCCAAAGCTCAGAATATATAAACTCACTTTTGATAACCAAAATAATATTATTATGTAAACTTACCATTAATTATTAAAAATGCCTCAATTTTTATTTAAGCTTAAAATTATCTTGCCTTTCCATAATAAATGAAACTATTGCCTTTCCACACTAAAATGAAATTTTAATGGGGAAAACTAAAAACAAAACAAAACAAAAACAAACAAACAAACAAACAAACGAAAAAAACACCTTAAAAAGTGTATGTAGTTGGTCTGAGCTGAAGCTTGCAGATTTAATGGAGGAATAAATATATGACTTGACAGAATGTGAGAGAAGTAGACATTTAAACAGGTAGGCAGTTTTTAAGAAGCAAATGACACCTCTCATAATCCACACCACCCAGTGTGACATACTCTTACTGTAATATGGAGTAACTGAATGGCGTTTCTCCAATCAGTGTGATGCTGCATAACCTATGGAGGATGGGTGTTGGATTTGACTTTGAATGATTGTATATTATTATAGCAATGTTCTGCAACTCCGAGACACTTTATGAGACTTCTTCCTTAGAAAAACAGTGAAACAAAAATTGGACAAACCTGTTCTCTTCCAATAAACTTTAACCTGAAGTTGATTGTCCTGATAGAAAGGAGCTCCAATTTTAAGAAAACGAGTTGTTTTCCTTCTTTGAAATGTTGGGTAAGGATCTACCAGTCCTTTCTGGGGTTTCCCAGCATGTGTCTGCTCATCTGCAGTACATTAAAAAAAAATTAAGAAATTATTTATTTTAATACAGTGACGTCTAATGACCATATTAACAACGTTCAAATTCAGAGAAAAAAAAATCTTATTTCAATATCCTACCTAAGCAAAATTATTATAACTTTGAAGAGTAAAGTTCATAATGGTTAAAAAATATATAATTTGTTTGAAATTCCGTAAAGATATTTTAGAGAGAAAAAAAGGTAAAGATATTTTAATATGAAAACGCTCTCTAACTTTTTAAAGGAATCATAAGTAAAGGAAGCGAATTTATAGCCCCAGGAACAAAAAATGTTAACACTGTGACTTTTTAAACAAGCATGGTATCTAGCTGTACTTCTGTATAATCATTCATGGTCTTTATATTTGCACAGTATTTGAATATACACAAAACCTGAGGATGGGATTGAGTGTAACCCACAGAGGCTACATGTGGTTATTACATCAAAGTAAATACAGTCCTTTGGTATGCTATATGAGAACACTATGGTCAGATTAAAGATCTTTCTTGCCCACTTTCCTGTCTCCAACAGTGAACAGTGAATGCTTAGGAAAACATTGTAAGAGCAGAATGAACTTTGAGCTATTCCCTCTGTGTATGTGCCTAGCTTCCAACAAGCAATGGTAACACAAAGTCCTTCATCAAGTATTTCATCTAGCAACAGTTTGTGAACATATAGGAGGATTGTCAGTATTTAGAATAATTGAGTATTCCTAGATATTTTCAATTTAAGAGTTGATAGTGCTGATTCAAACTACATTTAATTATACACTTTCAGATGTATCAATTCTGATTGAGGACAGTATTTGCATGAGATTAACAAAAAAAAACCAACTGTATTTAATTCTATACTACACTTCAATAAAAACCAGAGATTCTGATGATTAGGAAGTTGTGAATTATTAACTACATACTTGAGAGAAAAACGGAAAGACTCAAGTTTCAACAATAATTGTGAATAATATGTAAGCTTAAATATTTTGCCCAATATATAGCTTCAGCTAAAACCCTAACTGTTTTCTTAAAAAAATACATTTTTTCAATCCTTTTTTTAATCTGATATATTTTTACATTTTTTTTGCCTCTTTTAAATCAGTGCAAACCTACCAAATGTATGCAAGTTCTTTCTCAAGGTAACCATAGCGTTTATGTTATCTGAAAGAAAATCACAAAGTGATAGAGTAAAATAAAAACTTGAATCTATTAGGTATATATCAATTTAAAGAATTTTAATTTTATTAAATTTATACTTTGCTGTTCTCTCTCTACTGCACTTCCATATATATGTGTGTGTATAAATATATATACGCATGCACTGCATATACTGATCAAGAGAGAAAATTTTGCAGCATTTCCCAGAAGTGAAGCATATATGTGAGACAACATACATGTATATGTGTGGGGATAACACCAGAGGGCCAGGGGCAAAGCTCACAGAGGTCTGTAGGATTAAATTACTTCAGTGGGTTATGGACTGATTCTATTTTAATGACATAGACACCTAAAAAAGACCTTAATTCCTCAGAGAGTTGAGTAACTGACAGTGGAACTTCAGCAAAATTGGAACGGTGCTCCTGGAGCTACTTCCCAAAAGCCGCAGAAGTCCCCAAGTAATGAGGAAGCATGAATGTCCTGTCCTAGATAATATTTCAGGCAATTTATTTTACAGATTTCTCCATCTGTTTCTGAGTATTCTTGAAAATACCTCAAGCAGAAGTAGCTCTAATTAACTTCAGTGAGACTCAGAAGATGAATTCGGATATATTTGCATTACCTCTAGAGGTAGATTTTATTTGTTTTTTGATATAAACCATAATGTATCCATTCTTAGAAAAGGTCCAAAAAGGTCCACGCACACTTCTCAGCAGAGTGCTCAATCACACTAAAAAGTGTGATATAACTGGTTTTGACTGAAAGAATGTTGAATTCTTGGCTTTAATAGGAAGGATATTCAGATTTATCTATCAACTTATAGACATATATTTGTCTATAATAACAGATCACAGAATCACAGAATTTCTAGGTTGGAAGAGACCTCAAGATCATCAAGTCCAACCTCTGACCTAACACTAACAGTCCCCACTAAACCATATCCCTAAGCTCTATATCTAAACGTCTTTTAAAGACTTCCAGGGATGGTGACTCCACCACTTCCCTGGGCAGCCTGTTCCAATGTCTAAAACATATGTCTATAAACATATAAACTTTACACTTTAGCCTGCAGAAGCAAAGGCTCCAGGGAGATCTTATAGTAACTTTCCAGTACCTAAAGGGGGCCTGCAAGAAAGCTGGAGAGGGACTTTTTATCAGGAAGGGTAGTGATAAGACAAGGTGTAATGGCTTTAAGGTAGAAGAGGGTAGATTTAGATTAGATATAAGGAAGAAATTATTTACTCTGAGAGTGGTGAGACCCAGGTTGCCCAGAGAAGCTGTGGGTGTTCCTTTCCTGGAAGTGCTTAAAGCCAGGTTGGATGGGGCTTTGAGCAACCTAATTTAGTGGGAGATGTCCCTGCCCATGGCAGGATGTTTGGAAATACATGACCTTTAAGGTCTCTGCCAATCCAAACCATCCTGTGATTCCATGATTTTATGATTGATTTTTGAAGTACTTTCCTGTAAAACAAATTTGGTTTGGTATAATTCTCACAGGCACTGATTTGGCCCAAATAGGTAGCGAAAATGAGCTTAATAGGTGGAAAAAAGGAGATCTTTAGGTCTGTTTTATCTTCTTGGTACGTTAAAATGTGAAACTGCTGTAGTAGGAAAAGGTCTGTTATAGTTAAAAACTACTTTAAAATATTTCATACATATCCAAACAGAATATGTTTGCAGAAGGGTCCAGCAAAAATAGAGATTGATTAGTCAGGGTGAGAGTACTTAGGGTAACAGCAACATTATGACAATGGTGCTAAATAAAGTTTAAATTTTGATTGTACTTTAAAATAAAAATGTAAATGGATAGAAAATGAAACAATCAGGAAAGGATGTTTAAAATGATATCTCTAGCACCTTTTAATCAGAATTTTGCTGCATTGTTTATTGTATATACATTGGCAGTTGGGACTCAGTATTGTATTGCAATTATGAAAACATTTAACTAAGATTCAGTTTACTGTTAGATTCAGATATGATTTTAAATTATATTTTATAGTAAAATGAGAGAAAGAGTTTCAACAGCTTGCTCAATGTCTTTTTGGCTATGTATGCATAATAATGGCACTGGAGATTCTCTCCCAGTTACTAGAACAAAGCCCAGCACAGCACAGCACTGCCTCAGTGCGTGAGGTTTTAAAGATCTTAAAAATAAATATCCTAATCTCTAAAGATCTCAAGATTTTAATTTCAATGTTGGTCCTATGTGTGTAATAATTTCTTGAGAATTCATTTCTTATCAGGCATGAACAATTTAGATTCCCTAATAGAAGAGTCAGTGTTTTATATCAATTCATAGCAGATATGTATTGGAGTGCTCCAAGAATCTGATTTCATGGGCTAGTCAAAACAATCAGGATTTTGAAAAGGACTGCAAGCTGCAACTGCCTAGTTAAGATAAAGACAGGGAAATGGATTTATTCCAGTGACTAAGGAATATAGTTAGTATTTATAACTATAATGTATTTGAAAAATATTAACATCACAGTGATGCACATGCTTCCATTTTCATTGTATTTGTTTACTTCAGGTGAGCAGGAGCTAAGACAAAATATTAGGTGAAAACTATGATCAGTTTTTAGGTAAGAAATTTAACATCAAAAGGTTACTCAACTTGATCAAGACAAGATCACTTTGCTATCAAACAGCCAGCTTTAAAAAAATTATTTCCTTTCACTTGAGAAACCATTACACAAAACATTCAAAATCCAAATAAAGAAGAGAGAAAGTACTCAGGTGTCTGAATACTCACTATTATTCCTGGTGTCCTGCGTTGTGCTAAAATGGAGAGAAACCTTAGCACTTTTAAGGCGTATCTGACCCCAGCGTGTTACTGCCTGTAGTTCTACATTGTAGTTGCTGTTAGGTTGGAGTCCCTCCAGGACCACATAATTCTGGGGCTATAACAGGGGAGAATAAATATACAGAGCAGTTATAGTATTACTGAAACACAAGCTCTTATTAAAAGCAGGCCTGTTATCTTGGGCTCGCTACTCTTTTGAAATTAGAAAAGAAAACTCATACATGTATATAAATTTCAGCAGAACAAAATTTTCTTTCTTTAAAATAACATTTTACTGAACTCTATTTTTGTGTGTCATTATAAAAGAACTAATGAAGGACTAACTTACTTCCCTGGTGTTTACAAAATTTTGTCAATTCCTTGGCAAATGCAGACACGTACTCTTTAAGTCAAAATTAAAGTTGTTTATACATATATGTAAGTATATATATGTATAACTTTTTTTTCTTGTGTCTAAATTATTTTAGCCAAAGACATTTAAAGTCTTTTCTCCATGATTTCTACATTAGAAAATCATTGACAACTTAGTCTAGAGAGAGCTAGTCCGAAGACAGCTAGAATGCAAGATTCAGTACATTTGTCAATATTTTCTATAAAACGTTTTCTACAAAAATAAAAAGATAAAGAAACAGGCATCCAAAAAAACCTCCTTATTAACAAGGATTCTTTTCATCTACAGAGTGATAAATGGAAAAGAAAAAAATGAAGTTTCTATTGTCAAGGAAGTGTACATGAGTAGGATTAATCAATCCTACATGAGTAGGTTTATCATTCTCTGGTTAATAACCTATAAATTAAGTCCCATAATATTGTAAAGAACTTCACAGTATTCACAAGGCTTCACAGTATTCTTGCATTCTTAAATACATTTTTAGTATTTATAAAAATCCTCTTCTAGCCCATGTCACAGACAGAATACATTACTCCATGTTTTCATTAGAATTCTTTGTGCCTCTAAAGTTTCACAGTCAATCCAGAGTGAAGAGGACAACTGTGCACTGCCACAGTTCAGGAATTTTCAAAAGCATTTTGTTTCAATTATGTTTACTTGTTTTGTGTTATTTATTATTGACTATAACTCTTGATTAATGGCATTGATTTCTAAATACTGCAGCAAAAAATATTTGAATGTCTACCTAGAATCACCTAGAAATCTTTATAAAATGGTTTGGACTAGGCTACATTTGAACTAGACCATACCTGAATATAAAAATTGAGAAAAAAATCTTCAACGTTCTTCAAAAAAAGAGATTTTTCCACCGTGTTTCACATTATTTACAGTTTCAGTTTTTAGACTGAAGAGTTTCTGTAATATTCAAAAGACCATTGGCCAGCAATAGCTTCAGAAGTATCCTGTGGGGGTAGTCTGAATCTCATTAGTGTACAGTTTCATGTGATGCTGCAGAAGAAGTACACTGGGCCAGGAGTAGTATGAAAGGTATTCTAAGAGCCTGTCTTTTCTCTTAGATATGTCTTAGATCTTCTGGATTTCCTTCTGTTCAAGGCCAGAACTTTGTCATAATTATTTAATATTGTTTATTGGATGTTTTAACATTTTGAAGGTCTTATTTAACATTTTTTAACATTTAATAATATTTAATTAAAAATTAACAAATTTAACAATTTGAAGGTCTCTAGCCAATGGCAGCTTTCCTGAGAAACACAAAATGTTCTACCTAGCAGAATCCAAATCTACTCCTTGCTAAAGTGATTTCTTAAAAGTACAACAGAGGTCTAAAAAAAATAGAAATAGAAATAAAAATATTAAAACTCCATATTATTTCCAATTATGGTTAAATTTCCTTTTCCCTCCTTCCCAATGTAAAGCTCGTGATGATGGCTACAGTCTCCAGACCCTGATCCCTGTCCATTCCCATGAAAAGAGGTGGGTTCACCATGCTCACGTCAGTGGATTTGGCTATATCCAGTTTGCTGTAAATGAACTCAGAATAATGCCTTAATTGCTCTCATTTTTCTCAGGATTTGGTGCCTGAGGGACAGAGAGGGGACTATAACCCTACAGCTGTCATTCATAACAGTGTAAACAGGCAACACTAGCCAAAACACAGGGTAAACACAGACATGGAAACAAATGCTCACAATGCATTAATAAAAGTTAGTTCAGATAATTAAGCCCAGTCTGTTATTTGTGATACATTTGTATTCCTATTACCTACTTTAAGATACTATACAACATGCTTAAGGATATGACAGAAGATAGTTTTCCAGTAAAGCAATATTTGATGTGCATCAAAAAAAATCACAGGAATTTACTGCTATGGAAATATGTCAGATCTCTGGTACAGCAGAGTACTTAAATGTCATTTTGTTTTGTTTTGTTTGGACCTATAATAATTATTTAATATTTACTCTATATGATAGTGTCCCAAGTTTTATTTGCATATTGAAATAATGCAACAGATGATGCTACACTTTTGAAATAAAACAATACTGTATCTTTCAGAAGAACAGTAAAATAAGCCTCACTATAGAGAAGGAACAGCACTTTACTTTCTGTTTCTCCCACAAAATCTTGTAATACTTGTCTGTATTTTAAGGTAGAAGTCTACTTCTCTCCTTGAGTTCAGTGAAGCATAGAGACCGAGAAATCAAAATTGTCTATGGGATTGGTGATCTTAAAAATTAAGGCAATTTTCTCTTCTACTGAAATTATTACAATTTATCATATTTTGATACTTCTAATCTATTTATTTTATGCTAGAAATATGTTTGAACATTCCAAAATTAACACACACCCATATTTCTGTCTCATTTGCTGTTTTCCTTCTTACCCCATCAGTAATCTTCCTTCTCTTTTTTTTAGCTGGGATCACGTATTTGCTATACGTCCAGCTCCAGAAGACTTTGTAGTGGTGCACTGGGATATCAGGTTCTTCTGGAAGATCCCAAGTAATCATTACATTTACACTTCCATCATTGTTTGCACTGATATTGGCAATTCTGATATTAGATGGAGCTGGTGGAGCAGACGGATCTGCAATTAAAAAAAAAAAATCAAAAAATCATCTTCAGTAAGGTAAAGATCATATTCATCTTATGTATCTACTAGCTATACACAAGCTGTGTTAAACATTCTTGTTACACTTATGAAAATTCAGTGAAAAAATTCCCATAAGTGAGATGGCTTTTTGTAAGTTAAAGAAATCCAAACCTTACTAAAACTACAATTATGTGCTTGCTTACCAGCTTTGGGACTACACATCTAGGTTTGTTGTTATATTGTTGCTATGCTCACAAATATTACAAACCTTTACCATAATGTTCTAAACTATAAGGTTTACTTCTGGTATTCACTACTTTAAACACAATGACTGTAAAAAGCTCCTAGTCTATGAGTAGCCTTGTGTAGTTATCCTGGAATCACATGGTGGAACTGCTGATTTTTTTTTTGTGTGTGTGTGTGTTCTTAAAGAATTCTCAAATGAGAATATTTCTACAAGTTGAGTCTTTCTTAAAAGATCTTGTACTGATATCCACTAGCATGGGACATAAATATGACTTTAGAATAAATGTAATTAAGATATAATGAAATATTATGCTGACATAGAAGGCCATAGTTATATTTTTATAATGACAAAAAACAATTAGCTATCCCTGTTATTTATTTCCCTATTCTGAACTAATTTCTGGTCAATATTACCTGAGATATTATTCCTTCAATTCTCTTTGTCAACCCTAGAGTCAAGAAGGATACCTGACAGTCAAAGGTTCCACGACTAAACCTCTTACAATACTGAACTTTAGATCCTCCTTAGGGTTCTAATATATGATATGCTGTCTCTGAGTCAAGTGAATTAAACGGAAACTTTGCAGATGAGCTTCTGAAAGTCAAACTTGCTATTATCTGTCTCTTACTTTTTAATCATGATTCTCAATCTAAGTAATCTAAGAATCATTATAAGAGAACACTATCAAGAGTGAATATGGCAATATATTTATTTCACCAGCAATTTAGTGAAAAAATATAAGACTTTGCAAACTTTATTTTTCTAAATGCCTGTGGTAGACAAACATTAGTGGCAAAATATAATAAAAATGCAAAAATAAATAAATAGATGGGTAAATAAATAAATTAAAGTAAACACTGTGGCTCAAAAAAAAAAAAAAAGGTATATCAGGCAGAAAAAAAAAAAAAAAAAAAAGAAAATTTGCAACAATTAAGGCATGGGATGAAGTTGAAGCCAAGAAAAAACAATGTGATTGAGAAAACCATTTTCACATAAATTTTCAGCCAAATAAGCCACCACTTACTGCCAGAAATAAAACTGAAGGTGTGCAGAGGAGACACCAGGCATTCATTTGTGGCACAGTTCACCTGGATCTTTTTTATAATGGTTAATGATCTGTTAAATGAGCTTTCCAGACATACTAAATTCATCTGATAATCCCTATGATAAATGGTCTCATTGAAAAATTCCATCATTTAGGTCATACAAACTGACACATTTAGAATTAATAAAGACAGCATTTCCTTTTTAAAGATCAGCAGATGTGAAATAATGACTTATTCCTGTTATTTAACAGGAGTCTTGGTTAAACAACAATGGATGCTCCTGTTTCCTCATACATGCCATTTCAGTTAAAATAGTAATGGATGTCTGTGTTGCCTCACACATGTAATTCAACCTGTCTTTTGGACATAAACATTACAAAGCATTGAGTTTAAACCTTCTGGAAATTCATCTTTATTTTCCTAATAATGAGAATTCCTTATTTCTTCTCTTTCTTTATTTTTTAAATGAAATTGCAAGCCAGATTCCTTCATTTTTTGTCTTTGCAGAAACACTTTCCATACATTTATTGCCTTACCTCTGAAGTACACATCTCTATCTTAAACATATACAAAGGTGAGTATTTTGGAGAGGATAAATGTAAGAGATTAACTTCTATAATTTCTTTTAGGTTTGTATTGTTGTCTAATATAATTCCTCATCTACTTCTATAGCTTACTAAAATAAGTAGATGCAAAATTAAATTTAGATGCAATAAACAGAATCATTAATCAGAAAACCAAAATCAAAAATTAAGCATTCATCTTCGCCGAATTAAAATGTTAGGGTTCTTTTTTTTTTATGTATTATGATAATGTATTATGACAATAAAACATTTATAACCTGAAGTGCAACATTTATAACCTGAAATGCAGTAATATGATCATATTACTGCAGGTGAATTATTCAGGTTATCTCCCAGAAGTACTATGCATCATGTATTATGTATACATAACATATGGGATACAATTTAAGTGTTTCAGAGATTACGTCTTCATGAATGGTCAGATATAAGCCTAAACAATTCTAACTCTACAACATCTTTGTCTTCATTTTGCAACTGCGAAAGATTCTGAGAGCCCCAAAAATTCTAAAAGCTAAATGAAATAGCTCTTCTGGACAAAGTGTGTTACATGATTCAGAATATTTTCAAGTTCTATTCATCAGCTTTTCATAGATCTAAAGAAAATGACTGATTTTTTTTGTTTGTTTTCTTCCAAAATTCTTTGTCAAGTGTTTCTGTCCCCACAAGAATGCAAGATAACGTGCAATTATCCTTATATAAAGTAGGTGACTGATCAGAACCGAGCTTTTAAGTGTCTCAGCATCACAGGATTTTTCTTTTAAGTAACTTCAAACATCCCTGTTTTTCTCAGTAACATAAGCAGAAACAAAAATAGTAAGGAGAAGAACTGTGTACATATTGAAAGCAATGGATAATTTCTTTTGAATTCTACAGTACCAGGATTTCACCCTGTACTTACTATAATTCCAGTTTATTGAAAACATCACATTATCAGTAGCATTTCTGCATGCTCTGTTCACTAGAAACAGTCCAGTCTGCAGACAAAATGCAGATTTGTATTAAAAACAAAAACAATAAAAATATGAGTACTGGTTTGCCTTTGCTTAGGGAGAGTTGTACATTAATATGTTTAATATGTTGTATTAAAAATCAGCAGGTAACTATTGGTTAAGTAAAGAAAAAACATTCTCCTCTTAAGTTGAATATACACGTGAAATAATATTAAAATAGTAGAAACAATTTCCTAAGTGCCCACTTTTTTTCAAGATGTCTTTTGTGAGCATAGCAAATGTCATTGAAAAGGGCCTTTGAAGAGGAGGAAAAGATTGTAGGAAGGAAGAGGTTGTAGATGTGGAAGACAGAAAGGAAGGATTTCTGCAGCTGAGAGACATGAAAAGACGAGATATTTCAAATTGTCACTTTCTCAAGAAGGGCTTTTTTAAAACTCATAGACTAAGATGTAGAAAATAATAATCTAGAAGCAAGTAAATTGACCAAACGACAAAAACAACAACAAAACACTTTGGAATGGAATGGAATAATTCTGTTGGAAGGAACCTACAAAAGCACTTCAGCTCTAACCAAAAGTTAAAGTATATTAACATTATCCAAATGCCCCTTGAACACTGGCAGTCATTATACTTGGCATTAAATCATCTGAAAGAAAGAAGGAAAAGAAAAACTCAAAGACTAACAAATAACCGTCTGATTGTGGGAACCCAACATTAAAATATTTCTTGGGTTTTGAGTACCTGAAATATGAAGCCACTAAGTGAGTGGCTAAAGCCACTACCAGCTGAAGATCCTTTCCACATTAAGTATTTCCATATCACTATATAATTTATTCTTATATTTCTATGTCTCTCTGAACCACTCATCACTATTATAACCGACAGAACTTTTTTTTTTTTTTAAGCCAAAAAAACAGGAATATTCATCTTTTCTTTCATTAGGAAGGACTGAGTTTCACCAGTGAGAAGGAATAGCAACTAGGCTAGATATTGTGATCTCTGTTATTAATGGAAGGAAAAAACAACAACAACAACAACAAACCCAAGCCCCAGGCTCAAAATGGAACAGATAAAAAATCAAAAATACCCCAAGCCTCCCCCAAAGTCCTCCTCCAAAAGATAAAATAAATAAATTGAAATGTTAAGTAGCCTTAACAACATACTCCTTCATAATGCATGCCTACCAGTTACCAGATAATTGTATTTTTTCTGTTTTTTTAAGCCTTCACAATTGTATTATTGAATGTAAAAGTCAAGCTTCTACAAGGTGTTCTGTTATGCTTCTGTATGTCTATGCAAACACTAAAAAGCCATACACAACTTGTGTGCTGAAATATTTTAAAGTCTAATAACTGAATATCTAATACTGAACTATAAAGCTTATATACATAAAATGTTTGTTAACCTGACTGTGAAGCTAAACTGGAATTCTCCTGACAATAAAGCTTAACAGCCACTCTGCTGTTAGCGTTCATATATCTGTGATCCCTTTGACTGACTGCCCAAATGTATAATTCAGATACATGAACATTAAACTACTGGAATGGAAACTACTGCCAGTTTTTCAAATTTAAAGTTCTGAAATTTTATATATATGAATTTATCTGAGTGTTAAATCAAATTCTTTGGTTTGCAGAAAGAGTGATGATAGTTGCAGCTTTTCCTTTGTTGTTTATGCTACAGCTCAAATAAAATAAAAGACATTATATATACTAGAATTTGGCACAGACAGTTGTCCTCTAATCTGAAAAATTCTGGTCTCAGCAGCTTGAGAAGTAAATTGCTTCTCACTGCTAGAAACGATAGCTTCATTAGGTCAAGGCTGAGACTGCTGTTCCAGCAAATGGAGTAAGTACTGAATTTGTCTGCATTGTGTCTGGCTTGAGTATACCCAAAGGACTTAAATTCTTGTCTTGCTGGCTACTCAGCCATCACAAGGAAAACTCTGTTTCAGGCCCCAGGAGGGAGGATTCCCCATGTCTAATAATAATAATAATAATAATAATAATAATAATAATAAAAGCATCACATCATCATCATTTCAAAATGCACATCTTCCTCTATACATTTATTAAACTTAGTGATAGACAGTTTATCTCTTACAAAAATCTTTCAATCAATAGGATCTGGAAGTGCTTTGCAACCTTAAACATAACAGCATGGGTAA